CAATTTGCAATCCTCCTTTTCTTAATTCCATCAATAAATATGTAAAATTAAGTAAAAATCCTTTGAATTTAAATTGATACAAGAAATTTAGGTTATGTCATCTTGATTGATTGACAGTTTTCTTCTTTATCGTCATAAAAAATTATTAATTCAACATTTTCCTAGGAAAATTATTAAATAAAATTAATCTCGAATTAAAAAAGAACATTGCAATTTAATTAACAACGAAGCGATTTAAAATTAATAAAATCAATCGCCTAATACGTTTTTAATTCACTTGACAGGTTAAAAAATTAGGTTATGTTTTGATAAAAACTTTTTGGTTAATTTAAGGAGGAAAAATCGGTTGGTATTACCTAAATCACAACATCTAATCAATTTGCTTCTTCAAAATTATATTTTGATGATTTTTTTAGTTGAATCAAACTTTTTTTCCAAATTAAGAAAACCGATCGGAAGTTGCTTTGTATAAATTTTACAATTTGCAATCCTCCTTTTCTTAATTCCATCAATAACGATGTGAAATTAAGTAAAAATCCTTTGAATTTAAATTGATACAAGAAATTTAGGTTATGTCATCTTGATTGATTGACAGTTTTCTTCTTTATCGTCATAAAAAATTATTAATTCAACATTTTCCTAGGAAAATTATTAAATAAAATTAATCTCGAATTAAAAAAGAACATTGCAATTTAATTAACAACGAAGCGATTTAAAATTAATAAAATCAATCGCCTAATACGTTTTTAATTCACTTGACAGGTTAAAAAATAAGGTTATGTTTCGATAAAAACTTTTTGATTAATTTAAGGAGGAAAAATCGGTTGGTATTACCTATATCACAACATCTAATCAATTTGCGTCTTCAAAATCGTATTTTGATGATTTTTTTTTAGTTGAATCAAATTTTTTTGCCAAATTAAGAAAAACCGATCGGAAGTTGCTTTGCATTAATTTTCAATTTGCAATCCTCCTTTTCTTAATTCCATCAATAAAGATGTGAAATTAAGTAAAAATTCTTTGAATTTAAATTGATACAAGAAATTTAGGTTATGTCATCTTCATTGATTGACAGTTTTCTTCTTTATCGTCATAAAAAATTATTAATTCAACATTTTCCTAGAAACATTATTAAATAAAATTAATCTCGACTTAAAAAAGAACTAACGAAGCGATTTAAAATTAATAAAATCAATCGCCTAAACGTTTTTAATTCACTTGACAGGTTAAAAAGTTAGGTTATGTTTCGATAAAAACTTTTTGATTATTTTAAGAAGGAAAAATAGGTTGGTATTACCTGAAATCACAACATCTAATCAATTTGCGTCTTCAAAACCGTGTTTTGATGGTTCTTTTTCAGTTTAATCAAACTTTTTTTGCCAATTTAAGAGAAAAATGATGCGATTTAAGATGTCAAAAAATAATGACATTTCAAATATTAACCAATGAGAGAGTCTAAAAACATGTAACCATGACAACTAAGATGAGTATCCACAAAAACAAAGTGTATTAATGTCAAATTTAGGTTATGTTTCATTGCATTCAAATTAAATCCCAATTACGTAACACATTCAACGATAACGTTTAATTATCCACATTAAACCTAGAATATACCTAAACTTTCCCTATTACGTTATCCAGTCTATCTTAAAACCGGCAGGTAAGAACGTTTTTACAAACAATTCTTGTACTTTCAAAATCATCAAGTCAAAAAAAGATTAAATCGTAACTTTTTATCATTTAAAAGGGGGCCCTTTTAAATTTGCATATTCATTGAAGAAACGGAGAAGAAAGTATCTCATTCAATAAGATTAAAAAAAAAGTTGGTCCATCTGGACCAAAATTGTGAGCAAGAAGAGCACAACAACGTGAGATGTACCGCTACGAGGCCACGGACACAAAACTCAAGGCTCGTTTCTCTCCTTCTTTACTTCACCTCTTTCCTTCATCTCCTCTCTGTTGAGGTATGTCTTTAACGGTTGTCTTGTGACCCGTCTGGTCTCTTTCTATCTCTTTCTATTGGGTGCCCCCCACATTGGGGCCACCTAAGATTGTATTACCGTTCCGGTTGGGCTTCATTTAATTTCATATAAAATAATATTACCAAAAATTAACCCAACTAACTTTGCGAAAAATTAAAAAAAAATAAAACAAAAGAGGTTATTGGGTTAATTAACTCTTAAAGTATAAATTCTCTTATTTACTTATTTAAAATAATAAAAAAACTCACCGATAATTATTCTTTTCTCGTGTTATTCTCGTGAAATCATCAAAAGAATCCATAGAAAATTAACGAAGAACTTCACACAGAAAAAAAAAACTTTAACTTCACATCAAAATTAACAACACTGTTAATAACCGAATCGAATAACGTGCGAAAACACGAACTTTAAACGTGAAACGTGCGTGAACTCGTCAAAAGCGTCACTCTACTCGTAACAACTCTCAAGAACTAAACAGCTCTCAAGGAACTGAAAACGTTCAACACTCAACAAGTGGATTCGAGAAACTTTAACGCACGGATTTCTATCTTGTAAGAATCTCACCGCTTAATTATTTACCTTAATAAATCGGGCAAGTTGAACGACACGTTTAAAATGATTAATTAACTTTATTAAATCGTTTAATTTGTTAAAATCTGAAAATCATTCAAGACAAATTAAATTTTATTTAGGGAATTTTTGTTCGTTTAGGTTGGTATGAATAAAATTTCAAAAACCTGCCTTAGAGTATATTTAAATATCTGGAGCGATATTATAGGAAAGGGATAAGTTAAATCGATTCAAACCTAACTTTCATCTAATTATTAAATTAAACTGAGAATTTCATATAATTCGCAATATATGAATTCAGTAACCATAGTTACGAAACTAAAATGTGTTAATTAATTATTGTACCCGATGTTATCAACGAAAGTATGCAACCAATATCACAGGAGAAGTTGCAATACAGTAACTTTGTTGGGATGCATTTGAAGTTGTTTTGTAACAACTTTGTGACAGCTAGTAACACCAAGACCTGTTAAAATTATTAAAAAAGAATTAACAAACCTATTTGAGTAGATAACCTTTTCATTGATTTGTTAGAATTGTGGTCCATTTGCTCACGAATATCTTCTACGACATGATCGGTGATTTTAGCTTTCTTACTACCAGGTTTTTGGTGGAAATGCAATTTTGCTCTCCAAAACGAGTTAAAATCACATGTTTCCTATGTTTAAAAGTGTCATAATCAACGTCAATGTCTGGAAAACGTTGGTTGAATTGCTGCATGCAAATTTGTAAAGAATAAACCCAACTATCGTTCGCATCCTGCATACCGCTTCGATAATGTGCCATTAAAATAAACGCATCATGTTCCATTGACTTACCTCTCTAGTTCTAAAAAGATGTTTCTAAAAATATACAGCATATCGATTAGCTGTCAACATTTGGTTAGTAATTTAAAATTATCAAAGTTACCACTACATATTGAGATAGGTAGCCAATATTACACAGGTCACGTGGGTGACGATAATTAATTAACACATATTATGCACTTACACTGTCCGACATACAATCCAACATAGCTTAATAGTACAGGCATTGGGTAGTTTTGCAAAGGAAAAGTTTTGCTTGAAAAAGGTGACGTCTTCATGATAACTATGAGTTTTCGTCTTAAGAGACGCACGACTAAACCCGAATGTTTCTAGTTCTAGTCTTAGTTCTAGTTTTCGTTCAATAAAAATATACCACAATTTAACGCTGAATAACAATTAAAACTAGAACTAACACTAGACCTAGAAACATTCGGGTTTAGCCGCACGTCTCTCAAGACGACTAAACCCAAATGATTCTAGTTCTTGTGTTAGTTCTAGTGATAGTGTAAAACTAGAATTAACACTAGACCTAGAACTGGAATCAGTTGGGTTTAGCCGCACGTCTCTCAAGACGACTAAACCCGAATGATTCTAGTTCTAGGTCTTGTATTAGTTCTAGTGCTAGTGTAAAACTGGTACTAACACTAGACCTAGAACTAAAAAGTATCGGGTTTAGCAGTGCGTCTAAAGAGGCGTCTTTAAACGCACGTGAAGAATTTCGTACCAAACATTAACACTATTTATGTCTATTTTAATATTTATTGTAGAGATTATTTGTAAGAGATTTCTCTTCATTACTGCTATTTTCATCTTCATTTACTTTTTTTATCTTCTTCACTTTGCATGATTTTACAAAATGATTTAGAAGTCCACATTGATTACTTTGTTCTTCTTTTGACATATTCAATACAATAAACTTTTTCCTTCATTCTTCATTTCTCCATATTTTCCTTTAATATTCTTTTTCAAGAGTCAAGTCAATGCGATTTAATTCTTTTTCTTGTAAACTTTTATTTGATACATCTAGAACAATTCGATCTCTAATCAGAGAATCTTTCTGATCTCCAAATTCATAAATGCATCTTTAACTTTCTTATATACTTTCCTTACTACATCAGATAACCGTAAAGTATTGAATATATCCACGGCTTCTTCCCCAATAATATTCAAAAGTATAGCACCTCATCCGATTTCTTATCTTTACCAGTTGCCATCATTCTTAAAACTTAAAATTTTGGCTAAAGTTGCCCTCAAAACCCAGACCACATGAAATTTTCGCGTTTTCCATTTTCAATTTAATAGTTTATTCTAGAAGATTTTTTAAGATGTCCAGAAACTTTCTAGTGATATTTGGTTCGTTTTAATATTTAAATTTGACGTTTCAAATATGTCATTTTGAATATTTTATGGTAACTAGCGCTATTAAGAAGTAGGCAACCAACTTTACACGAGTTTTTTTTTTTTTCATAAACTTATTTTGATTATTTTTATTTATAGGAATTTTATTAATTAATGATTAATAAATATTAAAAATTAAACCAAATTCCAATAATAATATAAATATAAAAATAAATGATTGTAAAAAATTAATATTTAAATTTGACGTTTCAAATATGTCATTTTGACAAATCAAATATGTCACTTTGACGTTTTAATTTTAATAAAAACCATTCTTTTTATTACATTTTCACTTAATACATAATCAATTACATCCTAATTGTTATTATTTATTGTTGCAATTTACGTTTTTTCGACGACGGTTTCCCAAAAACTTGTTTAACCCCTCCGGCTTGTGTCGAATGGAACTTTAAATTTTGCGACGTTTCGCTAACCCAAGGCGAATCGAATTGCGTCGTATCCTGATCGACTAAATGCGTGTATTTGGTCCTTCCAGATCGACCAAAATTTTTCACCTGCATCACTTTTGGAAGAGTTGTTTTATCAAAGTGATCATCCAATGTTGCTTGTGAGAAATCTCTTTTATAAACATCGTCGTCTTCGTCCAAATAGAAAGCACCGCGATGATAATATTTTTGTAAAAATTTATATTTTCCTTTAATCGCCTTATTTGTAACCATTTTCGGATTTAATCTCGATTCTAATCTTCGTTCTTCCTCCGTCATGTTTCTTAATCTTTCAATTTCTAAACGTTCCTTTTCAACGGCTTCGCGTTCTTCACGATCCCTCTTAATTCTTTTTAATTCTCTTAATTTCCATGCTTCGTATTCGACTTCATCGTTTTCATCATCCGTACAAACGTCGTTAATGTGTGGTTCGTTTGTGTCTTTATCTTTAGCTTGATTCTCTTTTCTGATGGCATCTTCGACCATTCTTAGTGTTTGCCTTCTTCTTTCTTCTGCTAATTTAGCTTGTTCGGCTTCCGCTTGTTTTTGTTTTAAAGCTTCTTTTTCTTTTTCGATGACGGTGATTCGATCTCGTTTTAAAACGAAGACAGGTTTTAATCTTGGGCCGGTTTCTTCTTCCGAATCGGTGTATTCTTCATATTCGGAACTTTCTGAAGATTCCGAGTCGGATTTTTCTTCCTCTTTTGCTAAAAATTCTTGTTCTTCTTGTTTTACTAAAATTCTTTGTTTTAATAGTTCACGTCGCTTTTCGATTTCGGTGTCGCTTAATTCCACTTCGGATTCTTCGTCATCGGGGGCTTCTAAAGTGTGTTTAGGTTCGGGTAAATGATTGTGATGAAGCGGTACATCGGAATCGCTATCGCTTTCTTCTAAAACTTCCGGTTCGATTACATGACGTCGTCTTTCCGGTCGAACTTCTGTGTTAACCTCGCGGATTTTTAATCGACGTAAACGGGGATCGTTCAAATTTTCTTCGTCGCTTTGTTCTCGTTCGGGAGTTTGTTCTCGGATTGTTGCCGGATTTCTTTTATCTAAGAAATCTTCCTCGTCTGTTTCCGATGAACTTTCACCGTCTTGAGCGTAATCCGGTCGTTTTCCCGATACGTATCGGTGCACTTTAACTTTTTGCATCGATAATTCACCTTTGAAAGGATAAGAAAATTAGATTAAAAATTACGTGAGAAATTAGGTTACCTTTTTCATTTCTGATGGGAATTGCACCCGCTGTGCTTTGAATACCAAATGTTGTTTGGGGGTTCATCATTGTTTTTGAGAAAATGGAAAATTTCTTAAAGAAAATATGTAAATAATTTATTGACGTTTGTTTTTTGACAGATTGAGGTTAGAAGTGTTACCAACATAAAAGTGGAGGTGATAAAATGATTAAAATTAAGTTCAAAATGCGTAATATTTATTAAAGGCACCTAAAAAAATGAGTTTAAATAATAGAAATAGTTTTTGGCACTCTATAAAAATAAACTAATAAAGAAAAATTTGTTTGAGCAATTTCTTAGTAAAATTTAGCTTTATTACAGTTTCCTTCCTCGAAATTAACTCCATTTTTAATACAGCCATTTAATTTAATTTTATCTCATCTTAGTATTCAATAAAATTTTTTTCTAATTGTCGCATTCTCTCTTCAGCTTCCAATAATTGCTTGAATGGCTTTATTTATTTATTAAAGTATATCACTACCATATCAATCCTTTTTTTCAAAATTCAAAGATTAATAAAGTATTTTAGAACTTTCCCATGTTATTTCTAGATTCTTATAAGTAAGACTTGGATCTGATAAGTTCATTATATGCATTAAAACATTTTGAAAACCATTTCAGTTTCACTTTAACTTTTTGCATCGCTAATTAACCTTTGAAGAGATGAGAAAATTAGATCAAAAATTAAGTGAGAAATAAGGTTACCTTTTTCATTTCTGATTGGAATTGCACCCGCTGTAATTTGAATTCCAAATGTTGTTTTTGAGAAAATGTGAAAATATATAGTTTATTGACGTTTGTTTTTTGACAGATTGAGGTTAAAAGTATTACCAACATAAAAGTAAAGGTGATAAAATGATTAAAATTAAGTTCAAAATACTTAATATTTATTAAAGGCACCTGAAAAAATGAGTTTAAATAACAGAAATAGTTTTTGGCACTGTATAAAAATAAACTAACAAAAAAAAATTAGTTTGAGCAATTTCTTATTAAAGTTAATTAATTTTTAGTCATTAACACTAGAACAAGCTTTATTACAATTTCCATCCTCGAAATTAACTCCATTTTCAATACAGCCATTTAATTTGTTATTTTTCTCTCTTATCTTATCTTGGTATTCCATAACATTTTTTTCTAATTGTCGCATTCTCTCTTCAGCTTCTAATAACTGCTTGGAAGCTTCATCTGTTCTTGTTTCAATGGCTTTATTTATTTTCGAAAGTATATCACTACCATAACAATCCTTTTTTTCAAAATTCAAAGATCGATAAAGCCTTTTAGAACTTTCTGATGTTATTTCTGGATTCTTATAAGTATGACTTGGATCTGATAAGTTCACTATATGCATTGAAACATTTTGAAAAGCCATTTCATTATATCTAATAAAAATTTGTGAATAAAGATGCGTCGGGTGCTCTCTGTTCAATGAATTCGTCAATAAACAACACGTAAATAAATTATCAAGAATACTGAATGATTTAGATAAGTTTTTATGGATTATTTTCTCTCGAACTGTAAGTCTAAAACCGTTTGCACGCTTAAATTTAAACCAAGCGACCACTTTTCCTAAATTGCCACCTAAAAATTCTTCCATTTTGTTCTTATCAATTTTTCCAGTTCCATCATAAAAAAATCCAATATTTGGACAAGGAACTGCTGTATTTATTTTAATAATTCGCTCCTTTTTAACCATATTAACATCGTTATCAGTTAACGATTGCGTTTCATTTTCGGTGATATCTCCCAACAAAAAGCCTTCCTAAACAATTTTTTTTGAGGTTATGTTTATTAATTTACGTTAATTTGTTGATTTTACTTACTTGATTGTACAACGAACAAACGTTGTCGTAAAGAAGTAGTGAAAACGCAGTCCCCGATAGAGAAACACTTAGAGTTTCAACCATTATTAAAAAGTTATTGAAATAAAATGAGAAATTGTTTAGTTTTCCAAAAAATTGACAGTCATAGATATTTATGTTGTGATGGATGTTGTGATGGGTCTAAAAAGGAGTGTGCGTAGGATGTAAGTGAGCGCGAAATAGGATTTTTTGGTGCGTGAAAGAGATGGATTTATAAATTGATATGTTATTAAGTTGATTTACAAATTGTCAAAAAATGACAATTAATATGGATGTAGGTTATGTGAGTCATAAAAAGAGATGGAAAATATGTAAGGGGATAACGCGAGAGAGAGATAGATTTAAAATTAATTGTTTATGTCTTTCTGAATTAAAATTGAAAAAAAATTTGATTTGATGATTTGAATTGAATTTGCGTTTAGTATCAAATACTAGGATTTTTTTTATTTATTATTTATTTCTTGTCCTAAACAATTTTTTTTGAGGTTATGTTTAATATCCGTCAATTTTTAGTTTTTCAAAAAATTGACCATCATAGATCTTTCCATTGAGGTGGATGTTGAGTGTCTAAAAGGGAGTGAACGTAGGATGTAAGTGAGAGCAAAATGGGATTTTTTTTGACGAGGGAAAGAGATGGAAATATAACTTTATTAATTTGATTTAAAAATTCTGTCAAAAAATGACAATTAATATGGATATAGGTTATGTAAGGCATAAAAAGAGATGGAAAATATGTCTGGCGATAATGAGAGAGAGATAAATTTAGAATTAATTAATTATGCCTTTTTAAATTAAAATTGAAACAAATATGATTTGATGATTGAATTGAATTTGCGTTTAGTATCAAAGTAAAGGATTTCTTATTTATTATTATCTTTTTATTATTTATTTCGTGTCCTAAACAATTTTTTTTAGGTTATGTTTAATATCCATCAATTTTAGTTTTTCAAAAAATTGACAGTCATTGATCTTTAGATTGAGATGGATGTTGGGTGTGTAAAAAGGAGTGTATGTAGTATGTAAGTGAGAGCGAAATAGGATTTTTTGGTGCGCGAAAGAGATGGGTATATAATTATTAATCTGATTTAAAAATTCTGTCAAAATTGACAATTAATATGGATGTAGGTTATGTAAGGCATAAAAAGAGATGGAAAATATGTTTGGCGATAATGCGAGAGAGAGATAAATTTAAAATTAATTAATTATGCCTTTTTGAATTAAAATTAAAAAGAATATGATTTGATGATTTGAATTTGCGTTTAGTATCAAATTAAAGGATTTTTTATTTATTATTATCTTTTTATTATTTATTTCTTCCCCTAAACAATTTTTTTTCAGGTTATGTTTAATATCCGTCAATTTTTAATTTTTCAAAAAATTGACAGTCATAGATGTTTAGATTGAGATGGATGTTGGGTGTCTAAAAGGGAGTGTAGGTAGGATGTAAGTGAGAGCGAAATCGGATTTTTTGGCGCGGAAAAGAGATGGATATATAACTTTATTAATTTGATTTAAAAATTCTGTCAAAAAATGACAATTAATATAGATAGAGGTTATGTAAGGAATAGAAAAGAGAAGGAAAATATAAATGGCGATAATGTGAAAGAGAAATAATTATTTAAACAATTCTATTTGTTAAAATTCCCTTCGAATTTTTATCGTTTTAATATTCATTTAAAATAATAACAAAGAATTAAAAAAAAAATACTTTCCACATAATTCAAATTGAATTACCAAGGTCGAAAAAAAAAACATTAATCTATTTTATTGCTGTTTTTTTTTGCATTTGCGGTTGCACAGAGTGCACTAAAAAGTAGATAACAAATAACACTTAGGTCATAGGTAGAGCAAAGGTTTTCTACACACAATTTGACTTTCAAGTAACTTTGAAGCGACCTAAAACATAAATTACGTTTACAAAAAAGGTTTAAATTGGAGATAAACTCCTTGTTGTTTAGTTTTTAACACAATTGTTTAAAAAGCTGTGCAAAAAATGGCTGTAAATCCAACGGTAAGATTAAATTTAAGCTTAAAATAGAATTTCCTCTATTTTTAACCATATCAATCACACCCAATTTATTTCGATTACTACGTGCATAGTAAATTGATTATTTCAAAAATAGATTCCAAGATGATTTATCTCAATTGATCTTAAATCAATGATGATTAAAAATTTGATTAAAAACTTCAAAAATTATTTTAAAAAATCACTCAAAAAAAAATTGTCAAAAAATTTGTAGTGAATTTTTTATCATCTCTTTATCATTATGGCTACAGAAAGGGAATGTTTATGTGCGAAAAATACACCCAAACCTCTTCCAACAGTTGAACCAGCAGATCAAAAAGTAAGTTTAACCATAAATACGTGAATTTAAAAAAATTCGAAAGCGCTTAATACGTCATCGTAGAACTTTGTAATCTCTTGTTAAAAAAATTTTAAATACTATGTCGTTATTAAATGTGTAAATTAGTCAATCCAATTAAATATATCGATTATTCCTTTTCGTTTTAAAACATAACCTTAAAAAAATTGAATTTATTTTTCAATTTATTTCAAAAAAGCCTTCGTTTTCATTTGAAGTATTGTTTTAAACAATTTTTTATCACCTTTAAAACTATTTCAAACAATTTCTAAACAACAAAAAAATTTAAATTTGACGTTTCCATTTTGAAACATAACCTAACCTAGTTACGTCGTAAAATAATTTAGGTTATATTTTTATTTGACAACTTAACAAAAAAAAAAACGTAAACTAAGGACGTAATATAGAACATTCTAGTTTTGACACATTGCTGTCCGTTTACTATCGTTTACGTCTTTTTATATTCAAAATCCAACAGTATAATAAGTAATAACGTAGAGTTACGTTATTTTAATTTTAAACGATAGGTGTCGTTGACATTTATACGTCCTTTGACAGGTGTCATTAGTTTAATTTTATGTGCAATAAATACAAGCTGAATTACGATGGAAGCAAAAGATTTTGAAGATAGAATTAATGAAATATATGTTGATACTTTATCTGACGATGAAAATAATGAGAATACGACCCTGATGAGAATTCTGAGGATATTTTTAGAAAAAAGAGACAGAAAATGGACAGATACCATTACAACTGATATAAAAAAAATCTTGGTTTAAATATTTTAATGATTTAACGATTATTGGTTCACATTGAAACGGCAAAGTTTGGCAAAGGGATGACTCAAAATCGTTTTCAACAAATCTTACATTTTTCTAATAATGAAGAAATGCCCGAAGATGCCTCTCGAACATACAAAGTGGATACAATAAGGATATACTTTGTGGAATTGAGTTTCTAGCGAAGACCATCCTTGACTGGTACTCTGGTGAATAGATTCCATGTCGAAACTTACCAGGATATCCTGGAGATCTAACTTCATACTCCTAATTGATACCAGAATCTTGGCGAGGTGTTTTGCTAGCTGATAGGTAGGAGAATTTATGCTACTAACAATAAGGCGTAGCGGGACATCTGGTTTATGGATCTTAGGTAGATGATACGATAGATGATATTCGATTTGTACATCAGTGGATTTTTATCTTTGATGCTACTATAACAACAACCTATCCTATAAGGGTAGTAATCAACTATTTTTCTATCAGGTGGCAGATGGGGTCCAATTATTTTTTTAATTTTATCAAACATCTTTGGGATTTTCATAATTTTACTAAATTTAGATTATCGGGTAGGTGGTATATCAAAAATACTGTTAACAGTTGGTTGAGAGATGTTATTGGAAGAAGAGAAAAGAATCTTGTTTACTAAGTGCTTAGGAAAACTGTTGCCAATAAAAATCCTTTTTAACTTAAACAGCGCGTTGTGTTGAAACTTGTTATCACAAATTCTTTTTATGGTTAAATGAATGAGGAGAAATAGTTGATGTAACGTCCCGAATATGTCGGTTTGGTGTACCAATCAGAAATCACAGAATTATTCTCACATGTGACTACTCTAAAAATCGAGAAAAGAGACATAGCTATCAGTTTTAGTGTAAAGTGTTTAAGTAACACTACATCTTACAATGTAAAAGACACCTTTGATTGTGTCAGTCAAATAAAAGGCTGTCACATCCCTAAAAACTTTGTTGTCGTTTCACTTGACGTAATAAGTCTTTTTACGAACATCCCACTGGATTTGGTCCTTAATATTGTGACAGTTTTAATTTGGAAACCTTTTGTATACTTTTAAAGTTTGTTTTTGACAATACTTACTTATGTTCAGAAGTTTGGTACTCCTATGGGTTCTCCTATTAGCCCCATCTTGGCGCTTGATCACAAATTGGATTTTCACTTCAAACTCACTGTGCTTTGGCCAGTCATATGATAAACTGTAACCATACTTTTGATTTCGATAATGTGCCGATAGTTGATGCTGATATTTGTTAACTTCATAAAAAATCCTTTAAAATGAGTCCAAACTCGACATGTTTAACTTTGATATTAATGGAGATACAATCACTTCCGGTTTGAAACGTCAACGTCAATTTTGACATANAACAAAAAAATTTAAATTTGACGTTTCCATTTTGAAACATAACCTAACCTAGTTACGTCGTAAAATAATTTAGGTTATATTTTTATTTGACAACTTAACAAAAAAAAAAACGTAAACTAAGGACGTAATATAGAACATTCTAGTTTTGACACATGCTGTCCGTTTACGGATCTATTTACGTCTTCTTATATTCAAAATCCAACAGCCGTACACGTAGAGCTAAGAAATGCCTCTCGAACATACAAAGTGGATACAACAAGGATATACTTTGTGGAATTGAGTTTCTGGCGAAGACCATCCACGGCATCCTTCACTGATACTCTGGTGAATAGAGATTCCACTTCGAAACTTACCAGGATATCCTGGAGATCTAACTTCATACTCCTAATTAATACCAGAATCTTGGCGAAGTGTTTTGCTAGCTGATAGGTAGGAGAATTTATGGTACTTACAATAAGGCGTAGCGGGACATCTGGTTTATGGATCTTAGGTAACCCATATATTCTTGGAGGTACTGGGCCAATTCTTTCATTTTTCTTACTATCTTCTCGGTTGGTTCTTTTTTAATTTCTTCTAGATGGTTGGATGCAAAAAGCTCGTCATCTTGTTATCGTATACTTTTCTATCCACTTCATGTGTCACTTCGTTTGTATCATTTCGAACTTGTTTCTGAAGAAGATTGCAAAATCCGAAACATTAAAAACATGATCATAAAACATTATTAGTTCATACAAACAGTACACAATATTTTTATTTGGGGTGGTATACCTTTACATTTGTTTTTATTGCTAAATTGAAGCAAAAACGTAGTATGTAGTATTTTTGAACAAAATCCAATAAGATATAGTACTTTGTAATAAGACTTAGACGTTGGACTAAATCCGAATGTTTCTAGTTCGCGAACTAGTGTTAGGTAGCGCTAATTAGCATAAGATATTACTAAGTTGTATATTTTCATTGAACTAAAACTAGAACGAGAACTAGAAACATTCGGGTTTAGTCGTGAAAAAAAAATTCAGTTGTCAATGCCAACTTTAATTTTATTATTATATTCGTAATCTTTATAAAATAACCTTTAAAGTGAATCCAAACATGACGCATTTATCTTAAAAAAAACAAAAAGTTCGAACTTTCAACTTTTAATTTTGACATATTTGTTAACTTCATAAAAAATCCTTTAAAATGAGTCCAAACTCGACATGTTTAACTTTGATATTAACGGAGATACAATCACTTCCGGTTTGAAACGTCAACGTCAATTTTGACATATTTGTCATCTTCATTAAAAAACCTTTAAAATGAGTCCAAAGATTATCTCAAAAAACAAAGAAGTTAGAATAAAAAACATTAAACCCGAAGTTGGCAACAATGAAGATAGCAATTTAATTTTTAATTATTAATACCAACCTTAATTTTTTATTTTTTTTTATTATGTTTTTGCTTTTGTGACAAATATTAAGACATTTTATAAAAATTAAGAATATGTCAAAATGACATTGACATTTCAAATCGGAAGTTCTTATATCTCGAGTAATATTGGAATTAAATGTATCATGTTTGGACTCATTTTAAAGGATTTTCTACGACGATTACAAATATGTCAAAATTGACGTTAACATTATTAACCGGAAGTTGCTCATAACTTCATTAACATTGAAGATAAATATGTCGTGTTTGTACTCATTTTAAAGGATTTTTAATGAAGATTACAAATATGTCAAAATTGAGGTTGACATTTTAAACGTGAAGTTAGTTATCATATAATAGAAGCTTTATAACTGAAGTTAATTGGCATTGTGTGGTGTAAAAATAAGTAGAGCAGCATAAAAAAAGCAGGAACAACGGCCTTGCAAAATCATTTGAAATTCAAACATATTTTATTATTTACTTATACAGTAATAATTCCTTATCCACCCCGATATCCAGTCAGGCTTTGGTGCAACCGTCTCTGCAACAAGTATTCGAAAAAAAAAAGCTCTGGGACATCAACGAAATGAAATTTAAACGTCTGATTAATAATGCCGCAATACACTACTCCTGGCAAGTATGCAACCAATATCACAGTATAAGTGTTGCAATACGTAAATCGCGTATTATAAAATAAACACTGTGATATTGGTATGTATGAGAGAATGGTTAGCAAACTAAAGAGCGAGTTAGAAACGGTTGAAGATATCGCATTTACTACCGATCTTTGGACTTGTTCCGTAAATAATGCCGCATTTCTGAGTTGCACAAGACACTGGATATCAGAAAACTTTAAATTGAATCATGCATGTCTTGAAACTCTACTTCCTTCAGAGCGTTGTTTCATACATACTTTCCAGCTGGTGATAAATAATGCATTAAGAAACAGTCCCTCAATAACAGAAATTCTGACTAATGCCCATATACAAAACTTGAAAGTATTTAATCTGAAGTCGGACTGCCTAAACATAAACTGATTCAAGATATTCAAACTTGCTGGAACTCAACATATTACCTACTGGAGCGTCTACTTGAACAAAAAAGAGCTATTTCAGGGTATATCTCAGAATCAAGCAGCGTGAATTTTTGAAATTTAACCAGCGACCAGTGGGAGATTATTGAATAACTGTTAAAGCTCTTAAAAGCTTTCGAAGAGATAACAAAAATAACGAGTTCCACATATGCAACTATATCAGATGTTAACTTGGAGCATCTGTGCTTTAACAAGACGTATTACTTGTCAACATTTTTAGATCTTCGCTACGAGAAATTTTTCTTTGACGTTGCCCAAGCTGAACGGATCCCTAGAGTTGCGCTGAGAGGTCTTACAATTAGGTTTTTTAAACGACGACAATGATGATTCGGATCCAGAAATGACCTCGTTTAGACAATGACTATACTATACTACACTCATAAACTATTATTTGTGTTTTGAAGAATCTACGACAGACCAGCCTTCTGAAGAGCAATTCAAGAATGCCACTGCTGAAGTAATCGCCCACTACGTCGCGTTTGGCTTTGAGTACCAATAAGAATGGATTCCCCATTTTAAGTGAGCTTATTAAACGATACTTAATTACACCAGCAAGATCTGTTTATTCAGAAAGACTATTTTCTGATTTATGAAAATTGAGCAGAAATAGTGGTTTTGTTGCACCAAAAAGAGGGAAATGAAGACTTTAAATATTAATTAAAAAACCTAACTAATTGACTTCAACATGACATGACTGATTTTTGGCTAACTTTTTATATTAATGATAATAATTAATACTAAGTCTAATGTTAGTTCTACTTCTGGTAATAAAGAGCTTTCTAGACAGTTATAAAAATTTCCAAAAGATTTTTAAAGATGTCCAGAAGTGTCCAGAAACTTTCTAATGATTTTTCGTTCATCTTTCACGATGGCTAAACCCGAATGTTTCTAGTTCTAAGTCTAGTGTGTCAGTTTTCATAAAGATATATAACAATCTGACGCTGAATAACAAATAAAACTAGAACTAACACTAGACCTAAACCCGAATATTTCTAGTTCTAGGTCTAGTGTTAGTTCTAGTTTTACATCAATAACAACATAAAATTTAGTGTTTATTAGTGCTACTTAATACTCTCACTAGAACTAACAGTCGACCTAGAACTAGAATCATTCGGCTTTAGCCGTTCGTCTCTTAAGACGGCTCAACCCGAATGTTTCTAGTTCTAGATCTAGTGTTAGTTGTACTTCTAGTAATAAATTAGGGGACTTTAAAGATGTCCAAAAGTGTCCAAAAGCTTTCTAATGGTCTCTATAATTATCAAATAGTATTTAAACGCTTTCTAAACAGTTATAAAACTTTCCAAAATATTTTTAAAGATGTCCAGAAGTGTCCAGAAACTTTCTAATGATTTTTCGTTCATCTCTTAAGACGGCTAAACCCGAATGTTTCTAGTTCTAGATCTAGTGTTAGTTGTACTTTTATTTCAGTAAAAATAGACAACAATTTAACGCTTAATAACAATTAAAACTAGAACTAACACTAGACCTAGAACTAGAAAGTTTCTTAAGACGGCTAAACCCGAATTTTCTAGTTCTAGTGTTAGTTGTACTTCTAGTAATAAATTAGGGGACTTTAAAGATGTCCAAAAGTGTCCAAAAGCTTTCTAATGGTCTCTATAATTATCAAATAGTGTTTAAACGCTTTCTAGACAGTGATAAAGATTTCCAGAAGATTTTTAAAGATGTCCAGAAGTGTCCAGAAACTTTCTAATGATTTTTCGCTCATCTCTCAAGACTGCTAAATCGATCTAGTGTTAGTTGTACTTCTAGTAATAAATTAGGGGACTTTAAAGATGTCCAAAAGTGTCCAAAAGCTTTCTAATGGTATCTATGATTATCAAATAGTGTTTAAACGCTTTCTAGACAGTTCTAAAGACTTCCAGAAAATGTTTAAAAATTTTTTGACGTCTCTCAAGACAACTAAACCCGAATGATTCTTGTTCTAAGTCTAATGTGTTAGTTTCCATAAAGATATACAACAATCTGGCGCTGAATAACAAATAAAACTAGAACTAACACTAGACCTAGAACTAGAAAGTTTCGGGTTTAGCCGTTCGTCTTCATATTTAGCATGACATGTTACTCTACGTTAACATAGTGGCATTCCTTTTAAATTCTATAATTCTTGAACATAAACAAACTTACTTATTAATTTAATATAAATAAATTTTTCAATTTCTCCAACATTATTGATTTAATGACGTCATTATTCATGTTGTGGTGACGCAAAAATTATTGATTTGGGGGTGTGTCGCCAGCGTGGGCCTCATTTCATTTCATTTCACCTTCGAAGCGTCATCGCATTGAACCTGGCAAAAAAAGAAATTAAAAAAAATTAAATTAATCATAAAAGTAAACGTGATGGCACCTCACTTTGATAGCGGAGGAGATATTTTCGAAACGCCGGTTTCAAATTTAGTACGTATTTGAATTAATTAACCTAATAATTTTTTTTTGTTTTAGGTAAAAGAAGCTTTGAAAAATTTAATGTTAGACGATGATGTTTTAAAGAGGATTATGGCCAGATTCCGGCAAGACGTTGAGGCGGGATTAAAAAAAGCGACTCAACCTACATCGGCGGTAAAATGTTATGTCACTTATGTACAAGATCTTCCAACAGGAAGTGGTAAGTAATTATTTATTTTTTCCTTTTAAATCTTAAATTAATATAAACAATTTCTTTTAGAGAAAGGAAGATATTTAGCTTTAGATTTAGGTGGAACTAATTTCCGAGTATTATTAATAGAATTATGCGAAACCCATTTCGAAATGAAATCAAGAATCTTCGCCATTCCAAAAGCTGAAATGGTCGGACCTGGTGATAAAATGTTTGATCACATCGCCGAATGTCTCGCAACATTCCTTAAACAAGAACACTTAGATACAGAACCGATAAGTTTAGGATTTACATTCAGCTTTCCATGTCAACAAGTCGGTTTAACAAAAGGCATCTTAATAAGATGGACAAAAGGATTTCAATGTTCCGGAGTCGAAGGAAACGATGTCGTACAACTTTTAAGGGAGGCAATTGCAAGACGAGGTGACATCAAATTAAACGTAACCGCAATTTTAAATGATACAACAGGAACGTTGATGTCGTGTGCTTGGAGGAATAGAAATTGCAAAATCGGGTTGATTATTGGAACGGGAACGAATGCTTGTTACGTGGAAAAGCAACAAAACGCGGAGTTTTTTGACGAACCCGATAAAGGTTCAGGGAATGTTATTATTAACACGGAATGGGGCGCTTTTGGAGATGACGGAGGGATTGATTTTTGTGTAACGGATTATGACAGAGAAATTGATAAAAATTCTATTAACCCCGGCAAACAATTGTAAGAAAATCAACTTAATCTACTTTATTAACCTTAGCAAGTTAAAGCATCGTAAAAATTACGAGCTCAATTAAAAAACAAGTTTCGTAAGACACGCTTGAAATGCTCGAAATCAAGTTGAAAAAGGAGTCAAAGCCCCGACTTTTTTAATGAATGAGTGCTTTAAGTCTTATGAAACGTGTTTTTTATGCTATTTTTTGTAATTCGCGTTTTTATCCTTTCTTTTTAACAAAAATAAAATAAATTTTGACAATGTAGGGAATTAGGTGTGTAGCAGTTGGTAATACCGTAACACTTGAAAATAGAAATTTGAATTGACAATTAGAAATTGTCAAAAAAAAATGTATTCACCTGAAAAAAATGTTTCATGTACACCTTCCAAAATAAGAGAAATCATTGTTGACCTTGTATTCGATGCTAAGAACGTGTTTAAACATCCATAGACAAAAATTGCCACATTGACAACTAGAAAAATTAATGACTCAATGTCACCAACTTCAACTGGTTCCATAAAATGTTACTAAAATCTCATTACAGCATGAGTAATGTAATAGCTTTCATTACCGTCGCGAATTATAAAAAGATATATAGTTCATTTTTTTTCTATAATACCTGTCAAATTGTTGTAAAGTTGGCAAAATTAACAGGGAGTTTTGTTTTATCATGTTTTGAAGTAAATATGTCACATTGACGTTTGAGCTTTCGTTATTCAAAAAGAAAAGGTGCATAAAAAGTGTTGTGGGGTGTTTATTTGCCATTTACTTACCTAGAAAAGGTATTTTATTCTATTTAATTACTTTGTAGCACGTTTTTA